AAAGCCTCAAAACATAACTAATGAACAGAGGAAACGTTAGTTTAGTGCCAGGAATGCCTACATTGTTTATTCTGGACCTATTTTGAAATTGAAATATTTTGAACTTTGTGTTAAATTGGCCAAATTAACAATTTCCGATCACTTTATTTTGTAGTTGAAACAGTTGACTTGGCGATTTCTTGTGCTCAGTCGATAGAATAGAAGTAATACTAGTGAAATAGCTAAGAATTTGGTTGACTGGAATAATGTAATTGGCCTAAAATGGGAGTCAAAGTCGGCAAAATCGCCGATTCGTAAATGTCGCTGACACATCAAAATTCGCGAGAGCATAATTTCGTCAATTTTCCACCAAATTTCGTACTTTTTGTTTTATTACCTTCACAAAAAGATTCTCTACGATTTCGTAAGAAAAAATAACAAATTTTTTTTTTGAAAATTCTTGGACACTGGTGCGTGACTCCAGATTTGGGCCTTGGACCCTGAAAGGGTTAATTGTGACGAATCAGGCCTGTTTTGTAAGAAAATGCCAAACAGGACATACATTACTCAGGAGGAAAAGGCACTCCCAGGACATAAGCCTATGAAAGACAGGCTTACTCTGTTAATGTGTGCCAATGCTAGTGGTGATTGCAAAGTGAAGCCTTTATTGGTGTATCACTCAGAAACTCCCAGAGTGTTCAGGAAAAACAATGTCTTCAAGGCTAATTTGTGTGTGCTGTGGAGGGCAAACAGTAAGGCATGGGTCACTAGGGACTTTTTCTATTACTGGTTACACCATGCATTTGTCCCCACTGTGAAAAATTACCTAATTGAAAAGAAATTAGACCTTTAGTGCCTCCTGGTATTAGACAATGCTTCTGGTCATCCTTCAGACGTGGCAGAGCGACTTTCTGCGGAAATGAGCTTCATTAAGGTGAAGTTTTTGCCTCCTAATACCACTCCTCTCCTGCAGCCCATGGACCAGCAGCTCATTTCCAGCTTCAAGAAACTGTACACAAAAGCTATGTTTGAAAGGTGCTTTGTAGTGACCTCAGAAACTCAATTGACTCTTGAGAGTTTTGGAGAGATCACTTTAGCATCCTCAATTGTGTATACATTATAGGTAAGGCTTGTGAGGAAGTGACTAAGAGGACCTTGAACTCTGCTTGGAAAAAATTGTGGCCAGAATGTGTAGACAAAAGGGATTTTGAAGGGTTTGAGGCTAACCCTGACAGGATTATGCCAGTTGAGGAATCCATTGTGGCATTGGGGAAGTCCTTGGGGTTGGAGGTTAGTGGGGAGGATGTGGAAGAGTTGGTGGAGGAGGACAGTGAAGAACTAACCACTGATAAGCTGCTAGATCATCTTCAACAGCAAGAGGCCACACCTGATGAAACTGCTTCGGAGGAGGGGATAGAGAAATTGAGGAAGTTGCCTACTTCAAAGATTAAGGAAATGTGTGCAATGTGGCTTAAAGTGCAAACCTTTTTTGATGAAAATCACCTTCACACAGCTATTGCAAGCTGTGTTGGTAACCTGTACACTGACAATGTTGTGAAAAACTTTAGGAAAGTCATAAAGGAACGGGAGGTACAGGCCTCTATGGACAGATATGTTGTGCGACAGAGGTCCAGTGACTCTCAAGTTGGTCCTAGTGGCATTAAAAGAAGAAGGGAAGTAACCCCAGAAAAGGACTTGCCACCTCAAGTCCTAATGGAAGGGGATTCCCCTTCTAAATGCTAACACCATCAACACTCTCCCCTCCTCCCATCCCATCAATCATCACCAGATCTTCAATAAAGGTAAGTGTCATGTAACTGTGCATGTCTTCTTCAGTTTGTGTGTATTAAAATTAATATTTCATGTGGTAAAAATTTTTTTTTTGTTCATACTTTGGGGTGTCAGGAACGGATTAATTTGATTTCCATTATTTCTTATGGGGAAAATTAGTTCGCCTAACAATAATTTTGCCTAACGTTGAGCTCTCACGAACGGATTAATAGCATTAGGTGAGGGTCCACTGTATTATAAAATATTTCGTATGAACATGTGAGGGGATGATCACTCAGTGGCAAACAATGCCACACTGGCTAGGAATGGAGTGTGAGGCGGCTCGGGGGCGTAAGTACGCATCCGGGACGAATTACTATTTGCAAGTCAAACAACGATTTGCGAGTCAATGTTTTGACGAAAAAAAGTTTTGATTTCCGAAAATTTCAACTTTCGAGCTTTACGAAATACAGTGGACCCCCGGTTAACGAACTTTTTTCATTCCAGTAGTATGTTCAGGTGCCAGTACTGACTGAATTTTTTCCCATAAGGAATATTGTGAAGTAGATCAGTCCATTTCAGACCCCCAAACATACACGTACAAACGCACTTACATAAATACACTTACATAATTGGTCGCATTTGGAGGTGATCATTAAGCGGGGGTCCACTGTACGAGGGTCCACAGTACAGTGGACCCCCGCATACTGATTTTAATCCGTGCAAGAGGGGTCATTGTTATGCGAAATAATCGGTATGCGAATGAATTTTCCCCATAAGAAATATTGGAAATCAAATTAATCCGTGCAAGACACCCAAAAGTATGAAAAAAAAAATTTTTTACCACATGAAATGTTAATTTTAATACACACAAACTGAAAAAGGCATGCACACTTACATGACACTTACTTTTATTGAAGATCTGGTGATGATTGATGGGATGGGAGGAGGGAGAGAGAGTGTTAGTGTTTAGAAGGGGAATCCCCTTCCATTAAGACTTGAGGTGTCGAGTCCTTTTCTGGGGTTACTTCCCTTCTTTTTTTAATGCCACAAGGACCACTTCAGAGTCACTGGACTTCTTCGCACAACATATCTGTCCATAGTGGCCTTACCTCTCGTTCCTTTATGACTTCCCTAAAGTGTTTCACAACATTGTCAGTGTAATAATCACCACACGGCTTGCAATAGCTGTGTGAGGGTGATACTCATCCATAAAGGTTTGCACTTTCAGCCACATTGCACAGATTTTCCCTTTAATCTTTGTAGTAGGGAACTTCTTCAATTTCTCTCTCCCCTCCTCTGAACCAGTTTTTCTCAGGTCTGGCCTCTTGCTCTTGAAGTTGATCTATCAGCTCATCATGGTTTGTTTTTTCATTGTCCCTCCTCCACCAACTCTTTTCCCCATCCTCCCCACTAACCTCCAACCCCAAGGGCTTTCCCAATGCCACAATGGATTCCTCAACTGGCATAATCCTCTCAGGTTAGCCTCAAAAACCCTTCAAAATCCCTTTTGTCTACACATTCTGGCCACAAATTTCTTCCAAGCAGAGTTCAAGGTCTTCTTAGTCACTCCCTCCCAAACCTTACCTATAAGGTTTACACAATTGAGGTATTAAAGTGCTCTCTCCAAAACTCTCTTAGAGTCAATTGAGTTTCTGAGGTCACTACAAAACACCTTTCAAACAGAGCTTTTGTGTACAGTTTCTTGAAGTTTGCAATAACCTGCTGTCCATGGGCTGCAGGGGAGGAGTGGTATTAGGAGGCAAAAACTTCACCTTAATGAATTTCATGTCCCCCTAAAGTCGCTCTGCCACGTCTGTAGGGTGACCAGGGGGATTGTCTAACACCAAAGGGGGCACTTAAGTTCTAATTTCTTTCAGTTAGGTAATCTTTCACATTGGGGGCAAATGCATGGTGTAACCAGTCATAGAAAAAGTCCCTAGTGACCCATGCCTTACGTTTGCCCTCCACAGCACACCCCAAATTCTCCTTGAGACATTCTTTCCCTGAACGCTCGGGGTTTTTTCAGAGTGTTTACACTAATAAAGGCTTAACTTTGCAATCACCAGTACATTGGAACACATAAACAAAGTAAGCCTGTCTTCATAGGCTATGTCCGGGGAGTGCCTTTTCCTCCTGAGTAATGTAGGTCCTGCTTGGCATTTCTTCCAAAACAGGCCGTTTCATCACAATTAAACACTTGTTCAGTTTTCAGTCCTTCAGTCTCTATGTACTTCTTGAATTCCTGCACATATTTTTCAGCACGCTTTGTGGTCCGAACTGGCAGCCTCACCATCCCTTTAAACACACTATGTATGCCATTTAACGATCTTAAATCTCTCAAACCAAAACCTTTGCTGGCCTTAAATTCACTCAAAATCATCACTATTGCAGGCATTTTTTTAATTAAATCCTCATGCAACTTCCTAGCCTTTTCGCTTATGATCGCTTGACAGACCCTACTCCTGCTAGCTGTTTTTCATTTATCCACACCAATAAGAGTCTCTCAACATCTTCCATCACTTGCGGATCTTTGTTTCGAAAACACAGTTAAACCCTTTTGGGCAAGAACACTTCCTTGATTGCCTTTCTGGTGCCCACAATAGTAGCGATGGTTGATTGGGTTTCTTGTACAACCTGACCAGGTCGGCGATATGCACTCCACTTCATACTTATCAATGATCTCTTCTTCATTTCTATTGGAATTCTCACCCTTTTTTGGTGTAGGGTTGGCACTAGAAGCTTTCATGGGGCCCATGGTCACTTATTTTCCAGAAACAGCACCGAAAACACTGTAATAATACGAAATATTCTGATTGTATGCTTGGATGTTACCGCGGAGGCTGGCTGGTAAACAATGGCACGGGCGGCACATGTGAGGCTGGCTGAGGGTGCACATTGGACGCGTCTCGACGAAAATCGGTGAGTGGGTTTTTAAGCGGTATGCGAGGCAAAATTTTTGCGATTAAAGCAAGCGGTATGCGGATTAATCGTTATGTGGTGCCATCGGTATGCGGGGCTCCACTGTACTACCTTACTCTTGTTTAGTGATATGTATTTGCCTGTTGAGGGATCAGGGCATGGTCGTGGTGGTGGTGGGTAGGGATGTTGAAGAACTATGTTACTGGAGACGATCATTGGGTAACCTCCAAGTACTGGTAATTTTGCGTATGTGCTTACACACTATATTGATCACACTGATTTATTAGTAATATAGAAATTTTTCACATGGTAATTTTTTTCCATCTCAGGTAAATGGTGCTGTTGTGCGACGTGTATCTTACCCAGCAGCTGGCAAGCATGCGTTACGGCAGCAGGCCCGTAGGCGACGACGTAACACCTCTATTGCTGCTGGCAATTCTCCACCAATAACTCGTGTCACTATGAAAACTGTTGCAGCTACGTCCCCCAACCCTACATCACAGTCTCTTCAACCTCTTGTTACCACTATCCCTACTTCCACCACCACCACTACCACCACCACTGCCAGCACCATTGCTGCCACCATTACAACTACTACTACCACCCTTGCCATTACCACAACTACTGTCACTGTCACTGGATCTCTATCCCCAACTTTAACATACACCACTGTTAAGTCTCCTTCAAACATCTTAGCAACCACTCCATCACCACCCATGTGTAGAACAAGCAGTAAGATGTCCCATTCTCCTAACCAGTTTTCTGGCACAAGATTAAGTAGTAAGGCTTGCTCATCAAGTAATCTGCACCCTGTGCTTGGAACAAGGGTGAGCTCTCGAATAGCGAACAATGCAGCTACTAGCGGATCTCACCAGCACAACCCAGGCTCATCTGTGCTGATGGGCATGCCTCAAACTGGTGCTTATTCCAACTCTCTCTCCTCAGGCACTCAGGGTAAGTCTGAAACATTAATTTATTCTAATAAATTTCTCAATCTGAAATTTTTAGCGTTTGTGAATTTAGCTTTTAGGCAGCATCTTGTTCATGAGTTACTCAAATAGTGCACATAAATTAATCAAACCTTGAGATTGAGTAGCTCCCAGTCTGAAAAGTTTCGGTGAAATATTCATGTATTACTATATGTGATAGGAGTTGATTATTGTCTTGTGCCATATTCTTCCAGCTTCCAGAGTGGTGCGTGTTCCAGTCTCACAGTCATCCCCTTCTGCACGTGATGCCTCGTCTCCATCAATGACTACTATGCAGACTTATCTCGCTGCCATCCCAGGCTTCAAGCCTCGTAAAAGGTGTGTGTGTGTTTTGTGATGTTTTATAGCCATTTGTTTTTATTTTTTTAATTTTGTACGTGTGTGCATGGATGGCCATGTCACACACATGTATATGTACAATTTACTCACTAATTTGTATGTATGCTTTTATATATACATTATTGAAGATCTTCAGTGTGAAGGAATTGTGATTTCCCACAGGTCTCAGCGCAAGCTGTCGGCAGCTGCCCAGTTGGCTCAGACAAAGGAAGGCAATGTTGATCTAGAAACTCCAGATTCTATTCTTGCTGGCATCAACCTGCGAGCTGTTCTTAATAAACATACTTTTGCCTCTCTTCCACCTGCGTACCAGCATAGATTAATACAGCTCCTACCTTTGGTGGACCAGGCAGTTGGTCCTGATGATACACTCAAGTGAGTCTTACCTTTTACCAGCATAGATTAATACATCTACCATTGGTGGGCCAGGCAGTTGGTCCTGATATATTCAAGTGAGTCTTACCTTTTATCTTCTGTCAATGCTTCTGATATTATCTTTCTCCCAGAACTTCTACACTGAGGAGGTGGCCATGACAGAAAAGCCTCCAGGCAACCCACTAAAGTTAATCTTTTAGTTTGTTCTTTTCTTTGTGCCATCATTTAACATATGTTCATCTGCTTATTTTTCTTGATGTTATATGTCTACCTATCATTATAGTATCCTCATGTATTTCTCTTTTGGTTTTCATTCATCATCCTTTCATCATACAGTATTTTTTCTTAACTTTACTACCCTGCTTACTGTGAACATCAGCCAGTCAAGTATAACATCAAAATTAATGCTCTAATAAGCTTCTATTGTAAGGTACATAATTCCCAACTTCATGAATGAAGAGAGATTATAGGATTCAGGAAGGATAAAGCAGTAAAATCAATACCAAAGCTGTGTAATTAATTTTAGTATTTTATAATACAATACATTCCTATATCCTATTCCTATTTCCTAGTGGAAATGTCAAGTTTTAGGGCAGTGTTTTGATGCGAATATTATGCAGAGAATTTGTAGTTTGGTGATTAGTAGGTATGGGGCTAGTAAAATTATTATCCATAGGGCTGAGGAAAGGTTATTGAGGTGGTTTTAACAGAGAGGATGGAGCAAAATAGGATGATTTGACAGTTGTACAAATCTGTAGTGGAGGGAAGGAGACACAGGGGTCGTCTCGGGAAAGGTTGGAGGGGTAAATGAGGCTCTGTATGTGAAGGGCTTGGACATCCAGCAGGTGTTTGTGAGCATGTTAGATAGGAGTAGAGGCAGATGGTTTCTATGACTTATTATGTTGTGGAGAGTGAGCAACATAACATTTATGAAGGGATTGAAGGAAACTGGTTAGCAAGACTTGAGTCCTGGAGGTGGAAAGTACAGTGTCTGCATTGTGAAGGAAAGATGGGAAAATTGCAGTTGGGGGGGGGGGTATCTGAACTGTAATGGTGACATGATGATTCTGGCAAGATGGTGATAGAGTGAGTGTTACTTTTTTTTTTTATTGCCCTACCTTGGTGGAAGATGGCAAGAGTGTTAAAAAAAAAAATTTTCTTTCCAATTCAGGAGATGTTCATTGGAACTATTTTAGAGAAATGACACTTACTGCAGAATGAGGTTTTATAGAGAGAACACTTTGCTGTGTAAAACTTTTATCAAGTCATGAATGACTTGATGTTTGACACAGCTTTTAAAATGCATCCATAATAAAGCTTGTTCTGCAAACTATGACTTTTCTTCACTAATATGATGATAATGAAAATAATGAGTGTACCTAGTTGGGTGTTGCAAGGATCAGTTTTTTTCTCCATTAATATTTCTGGTTTATATATATGATTTTCTAGAAAGAACAAAAAAACTATATGAGCATGTTTACAAATGATACAGTGGTCCTGTGCACAAATTAAAATGAATGAGGGAAAATTGAGCAAGTGGAGTGATGGATGATGGAATTTTATATAGATTAGTGTTATGCAATAACAATGGAAGAAAGCAATAAGAATTGGGATGGGATGGTACTAAAATTTGTACCAATAACATTATCATCAAAATTAGCCTTTACCCATCATTATTGATTCTTTGGTACACCCCTAAATAATAAGCAACATAAAGATCTGGTAGAAATAAGAAAGAGCTTGAGGTGAGTGTAAGGTAAATGCAAATACAGCAAGTTAAATGTAAGTGGATAGATCAGTGGGGTCAGATGAGATTGAGACTGTGATGCTAGAGCATGTGGAGATTTTTGTAGTTGGTATATTTATTCAATACATGCATAAAGAGTGTGAGAGCATGTATAGTTTTTTATAAGGGAAAATTTGACAGAGTAAGAACTAGGGTAATAAAATAATTTATAATTTTTTTATTCTTGAGTGACTGCTTTTTCAAGAATTCACAAGCACTTGTACTTAAAGCCAATAAATGCAACAACAGTGATGAAGAAGAAATGCTAAAGTTTATTTTCAAAAAAAGACAGTATGATTATAAGGATTATAAGCTTTAGAAATGAGATGTGCTTTCAACTTATTAAAGGCATGAACATATTCCTGATTCATAACAGACACTAATAACCTGTTAAACAATCTAGTAGATACATTAGAAAAAGCTCTTTCTGCAAATGATTTATCCCCTGTTGTGTGTAACTGGTAAGGTTTATGATACAGTAGACCGTCATTTAGCATGGTAGTTAAGTTACTGAAAATGCCATGTTAGGTAAAATCATGTTAGATTAACCGAAGAACTTATGGGAAAAATAAGGTTACGTTCCTGGGAGCCCCCAAAAAGCCAAACAACTTTTTTTTTAGGCCTCCACAACTTACAAAAATAAAAGTGAATGTAGTTGTAGTTCATTGTTGTGATATATTATGTTGTTTTTACTGCTTAAGACTACAAATGTAACATAAATAATAGTATTTCTTACCTTAAATTGTGGTTGCTGGTGTTTGTGGATGATTGTGAAGAGAGTGTAGAGTTATGTTGTGGTCCTACTGGGCTGAGGTGGATGGTAGAGGTTCTGGTACTGAAGTTGATGGTTGTGCTGGAGTGTCTAACTTTAAGTCATTCAGTCAGTCAGTCATGTCATTCAATCAGTCAGTCAAGTCATTCAATCAGTTAATTCATTCAGTAAGTCAGTCAAGTCACTCAGTAAGTCAGTCAAGTCACTCAGTAAGTCATTCAGTCGGTCAGTCAAGTCACTCAGTAAGTCAGTCAAATCATTCAGTAAGTCAGTCAAATCATTCAGTCAAGTCTCTCAGTGTCAATCAAGTAAGTCAGTCAGTCACACAAACTCATGTTTACCTCTTTTTCATTATGGCTACAGGTTATCGCTTGTGTAATATCATTGTTTCTTTGGTAATTCTAAGACTTAAGCACTTTTACCTCTTCATGCCACTTTCAGCAACACTGGTATGGCTACTGGGTGTCATAATTGCTTGCCAGATACAAGATATAGTAATTAAAATATTATAACACAATTCACAAACACAGCTGCCTTGTAGCAGAGAAAGACTGGACACGTATGAATTACGAACGCTGGAATGGTGTGGTGTTGTAGGGGAGTGGTAGGGGATGGCGGGAAGGCTCCCGGGCTGCTCCACAACAAGGTGGCCGCTTGAGCAAAAGAGAATTTTTTTTTCCTTCCCACAAACTGAACCGTGTTAAATTAATTATACGACGTGTTACATAAAATTGTGCCACAATTCTTGAATCGTGCAATACTCAAATTTTGCCAGATAAACGTGTATTAAATAACGGTCTACTGTAGATTTATTATTGAAAGTATTAGGATAGCACAAAGTAGGATTGCCGGCATCTCGGAAATCAGCCGTATTGGATGTGTCTGCCCGCCAACTTTTGTGAGTCAGTCTGGCTGTGGCTCTGGGTGAGTGAGCAAGACTCCGCGCATTCATCCAAACATTTTGTTATAATCCATTGTTTTTTGTGGTTGTTGATTGAATGCAACTGCGAAATAAGCCACCATGGGCCCAAAGAAAGTTCCTAGTACCAGCCCTTTGGTAAAGAAAGTTAGAAATGCGATAGAATTCAAGAAAGAAATTGTAGCAAAGCATGAAAGTGGTGTTCTTGTCCTGGAGCTTGCCAGGATGTATGGGAAATCCAAATTAATAATCACTTCTATCCTGGCAAAGAAAGTAGAAATCAAGGAAACTAATGTTACAAAAGGGGTAAATTTTTTTTTTTTTTTTTCTCCAACAAGTTGGTCGTCTCCCACCGAGGCAGGGTGACCCAAAAAAGAAAGAAAATCCCCAAAAAGAAAATACTTTCATCATCATTCAACACTTTCACCACACTCACACATTATCACTGCTTTTGCAGAGGTGCTCAGAATACAACAGTTTAGAAGCATATACGTATAAAGATACACAACATATCCCTCCAAACTGCCAATATCCCAAACCCCTCCTTTAAAGTGCAGGCATTGTACTTCCCATTTCCAGGACTCAAGTCCGACTATAAGAAAATAACCGGTTTCCCTGAATCCCTTCACTAAATATTACCCTGCTCACACTCCAACAGATCGTCAGGTCCCAAGTATCATTCGTCTCCATTCACTCCTATCTAACACGCTTTATGCACGCTTGCTGGAAGTCCAAGCCCCTCGCCCACAAAACCTCCTTTACCCCCTCTTTCCAACCCTTTTGAGACGACCCCTACCCCTCTTTTCCTTCCCCTATAGATTATATGCTTTCCATGTCATTCTACTTTGATCCATTCTCTCTAAATACCAAACCCCCTCAACAACCCATCTTCTGCCCTCTGACTAATGCTTTTTATTAACTCCACACCTTCTCCTAATTTCCACACTCCGAATTTTCTGCATAATATTTACACCACACATTGCCCTTAGACAGGACATCTCCACTGCCTCCAACCGTCTCCTCGCTGCTGCATTTACCACCCAAGCTTCACATCCATATAAGAGTGTTGGTACTACTATACTTTCATACATTCCCTTCTTTGCCTCCATAGATAACGTTTTTTGACTCCACATATACCTCAACGCACCACTCACCTTTTTTCCCTCATCAATTCTATGATTAACCTCATCCTTCATAAATCCATCCGCCGACACGTCAACTCCCAAGTATCTGAAAACATTCACTTCTTCCATACTCCTCCTCCCCAATTTGATATCCAATTTTTCTTTATCTAAATCATTTGATACCCTCATCACCTTACTCTTTTCTATGTTCACTTTCAACTTTCTACCTTTACACACATTCTCAAACTCATCCATTAACCTTTGCAATTTTTCTTTAGAATCTCCCATAAGCACAGTATCATCAGCAAAAAGTAACTGTGTCAATTCCCATTTTGAATTTGATTCCCCATAATTTAATCCCACCCCTCTCCCGAACACCCTAGCATTTACTTCTTTTAC